CCTTCCCAGGAGATCCGTGAAACAGGTCTGCATGAGACATTGTCATGGGCTCTGGGCCTCCAGTTGGATTCATGGGAGGCATTGTTATGAGCTCTGGGTATTCAGCTCAACTCATGTAGGACATTGTTGTGGGATCTGGGCCCTCAGCTGGATTCCTTGGTCTTAGTGTGTGGACAGATTTCCTGCACTCTTTTGTATACTGTTCTTGGGTGACATAAATAATCATATAAAGTATGTGTCCTGTATTATGTTGTTCCCCTTGCAAAATAAGCTTCCCCAAACCAATACACTGGGTTTCTGGGATGCTGCAAAGTCCTTATAGAAAATCTTTCTATGTTCTTATTGTCCTGAACAAAGAATTGGTCAAGGCAAGTGCAAAAGGTAGTGAGGTTTTACATTTATTAATGGTATTAAAGATAGGAAAATAAATATGCTCTGCACATGAGTACTGGCCAATTAAAAGTGAGACAAAGAGTCCACTGTACAAAGTGCAGAGCAGGCCATGGAGAGAGCTTACTCTGGCCCCACCTTAGTGGAAGTCATCTCCACTCCTCAAACTGCAGGCAGACATAGGCTGTCCTATTAAAATCCTGTTTGAGTTCTCATGAGAAGAACTGAAGATAGCACTTTCTGACTGGTCTGGGTTCATGGCTTTGAACTGTTTTTTTACACGTGTCCTAATTTTTGTTATTGACAGGTCACATGGACTTAACCAGCCAGCTGGTCATGCCCAATCTCCTATTCCACATCCACAGAAAGAAAATGGCCTTTGTTATAGGTGAAAGACATGAGTCCCATCATTTAATTTTTTAATTTATTGATTGGTTTATTGATTGAGACAGGGTCTAGGCAGTTCAGGCTGGATTTTAACTCACTATGTAGATCAGGCTGGCCTTGAACTCATAGTGATCCTCCTGTCTCAGCTTCTTGAATGTTGTGATTACAGGAGTGTGTTACCTTGCTTGACTCCTACCATTTATTTTTTAAAGATGGCTGCTTTTATATTAAGAATAGGTTTCTGCCCTTTACTTCTAATTTATGGATTTAAATGTATTTTTGATGTGATGGCCTTAGAAGAAATCATATAAAGGGATCCATACTGGTATGAATAATCTTGAGTATCTTTGTGTCCTGGAGTTACAGTCTTCTTAAAGGTACATAGTTTTTTAGTCATGATTTTCCTGGTCTCCTTCTACTACCTCAGTAATTCTACCTCAGAATTGTCTGGTTTACTTACACAAAGGGGACTTTTATAACGTTACTTTTATCTTTCAGGTTTCTGTCATGTAACCGGCCACAGGTTCATTTGCTCCTGCTGACCAAATCAAAGGAGGCCATTTATTTTGGTAAAAAAGGATTTTTTCAAAGCTAACGTAGCCTTATTATCCAAGTCACTGTCTCCCTCCGTGTAAGAAGGGTCTTTTATAGCAAGGAACGTTGCAGGAGGAGGGATACAATGAGACAACAGACAAGTCTCAGCTTTTTAAAAATCTCTTCCTGGGTCCAGGCTGCTCTCTCCTTTGCCTAAGGAAATGAAAGTGGACTTTAATCTCTTGGTACCAGCATCCGCATGTTCTGTCCATTTGTCTGTGCTGAGGAGAACTGCAGGGTGGCTGCTTGCGCCCCAGACCTGAAGACATTTGGAGAAGCCACTTCCTTCTAAAGCAAACAAGATCTAACTTGAAAGTTCCACTCTGCCTTGCCACTTACAGTAAGAATTTAGTGCCCATCTCTATGTGACTTAATTTATCTCCAAGAGAAAGCATTTCCCCTCTATGTCTCCTTTCTGTCATTTCTGTTTCATGCACCATTATGCAGGTTTTCTTGTTATGTAAGCCACAGGAGAGAAACTGAGTTCTTTTTCTTAGAAAATTTTGCTCAATGACATTATATTTATTTTCTTAATTATTTCTAAGGAAAGCATCTCATCACCTGCTTCATAATTGCTCTTTTCCACCTTTATTGAGGGCCTAATTCATGAATTCTACCCTGTGGAGTCGATTGAGGTGGATTTTGATTTTGTGAGGATGAATGCCCTTGGATTCCCCCCTCCCATAAAAGAAGAATACTTTTGTTTTATGACTAGAAGTAAAATTTTCCTTTTTTCTATCAAAACTTATTAAATAACTACTTTGCTTGTCCTTTACTAATTATATGTTCTTTTCTAAATAATGGAATGTATAACTTGCTACTATTTATATTAGTCAATTCCCTTTCAATTCTGATATTTTGTTATTTTTAAATAATTGGAAAATAATTTCAAAGTGTCAGCAATATAGCATTTAAAAAGTTTATCAGACAAATCCCAATATGTCATCCATTTGAGAAAGTACCCTTTAATAATTAAACAGTGAGTAGTGAATTGTAACTAAAGATCAGAAAAACAAACAGAAAAGCATGATCTGATCGTTATCTCTCCAGTTTATTGCTTGTCACTAAAAGCCTCACGCTTTATAATTTGTCCTGTTTGTACACAGTTGTTCTTCCAGCTTGTTCTTTCATAGTTGGTGGCCTTTGATACCTTCTCCTTTGTCCTGGAGCTCATCCCTATTCTCTTTACCCCGGTCATGTCTATTTGACATTTAGTTCTTTTTTCTTCTGGAATGTCTTTCTCTTCCCCTCCTGGTGGGGGCCAAGCATCATAGCAGGTATTGCACATCAGAAGGAAGAAGAATGGGTAGTGCCAGCCAGGCTTATTCTAACATTTCACTTCTTTCTTAGTCATCCCAGAATTGTGCCAAAAGCCATCTGTAGCTACAAGGGAGGCTAAGAATGAAAACATCTGGTCAAGAAGAATGTGGTATCAAGATCAGTTCGGACAAATCAGGATCATCACTTAGGTGAGATAAATTGCTGTTGAGAACAAAATTAGTATCCTCTTATCAAGAAAAAAGGAAAAATGGCCTAAGGGGAGAAGATCAACCGTATTTACCAGGCTTTCTCTTACAGACTGACAGCGCAGCCAGTGGTCTACCCGGCCGGCTCCTAATCCAGCCTCAGTTATTCTCCGCTTCCCACCAGCCCACCCCTCCTGTGTCCAAACTGAAAAGCGAAGACCCGCAGGGCACCCCCTGCAAAGCCAGTGTCTAGGAATCTTGTGTTTGTTGTCTTCTAAGGGAGTCTCTTACTACTTTACATGCTACCTGCTTCTGGAGCTGAAGAAACTATGTTTAAAGGATTAATATGGCTGGTGCTCCAGGGAATGGAAGGTAAACAACTGTTTCTTTTTTGTCAATATGGCAATTAAGAACAGGGAGATTGAAGAAAGAAAAGTAAATGTAGCTTTTATTTCTACAGTAGACTGATAGGCCAGTGAGTCGCTGAATAGGTCGTGGACATCAGAATAGTTTTGGATTAACAAATCCAGTTCAGGGATAAAACTGTCACTTCCCACAGCTACTTCACACCCTAAAGTACCCAAACATGACACAGATAGAAGCTTGCCAATTTAGAACTGGAAATTTGTTTTCATTTGCCTGTGGTATAAAGATGTTTTTATGCCAAGGACAGAAATCTGCATGAAAATTTAGTTTCTAGTAAAAGCAGATTTTCTGCAGCCAGAAGTGTTACTTTTGGTTTTATAATGGATGAGAAAAATCAGTAATCTTGTCAGATTGCTTAATCTTTCTGGGAGCCCTTCCTTATTCTTTAAAGAATAGTGATATTGTCACTGGGTAGGATAGGTCCTTGGTTTAATGATAATTGAAATGCAAATGAAACCATTAATTTACAGAAAAAGCTGCAATTGGAAAGCAATTGGAAAGAGAAAAAAAGTAAAGGACTTCAACAATAAAGGACTCCAGCTCGATTAGCTGGAGGATGAACATGGAGATATCGGGGTTCAGATTGGCCCACTCTTAAAAGCAGGAGACCAGCTAAAGGACTAGCTGAGATGGCACAAGGTCAGGTCAATTATTATTAGCTATCAGTTATTATCAGTTATCGATTATTACCAGTTCTGCTTTCTTAGCTCAGCTTGAATCTCTATAACTTGATGCGTGATTCGGTTTCTATGGGAGGAATCCTCGTGACTGAAGAGACAATCTGGATCCCATGGGAAGCGTCCTCACGACCTAAGGGATGATTCCGGTTACCATGAGGCTCTGCTAAAACCCAATGTGACCAAGCTGATCGTCGGCTTAGGACTCTGAAACTTCTGAGCACAGGTGCTCTCAATCTGGAAAGGAGAAGAGTGAGACCCAGTGATGAGGAAGTGCCCGACCTACAACCCCAAGCTCAGTCATTTATTGTGAAGTGCCAGCGCTGCAGTTAAACCTGGATACTGAGGCTTCAGTTAGAAAGAATAACTGTTATTTGATGTTCGGGTGCTGGGACATGGCTCGCACGCCGATAGAGAGGATGCTCCGTCCTGCTGCCGCACATGTGCCATGGGTTTGCCCCACTCAGCCAGGCTAAGCAGATTTACAGATAACAGATACTCCCTAAATGACTAATATTCCTGAAAATGTGCTGCAAATGATTTGACTCAGAGTTTCACAAAATGAAGCTCAAGCTTTGTTCTACTTTCCATCTTTTGGACATTTTTAAGACCAAGTGAAGGATTGGGATTTTTATCTAAGACAACAGTTAAGTCTCTGACTCCCCTAGGGGAGAACAGAAAACGTGCTTTTGCTGAGTAAGAGGTGAAGAGCCAGAAGTTTGTGCATCCTCTGCTCCTATGGTCATCTCTGACTATGTCATGACTGGCCAGTGCTGCCTCCTCAACTGGGTTGCTCCTCTGTCTTACAGACCCACGAGCTCGGGGAGTATCACCCCAAGTGTGCCCCTTTTGTGTGCTGATTACTTCCATTTGAGAACATATGAAGAACAGAAAATGAAGGAATGTTCCCTTACCTGTCATTGCTCCTTCTCTGGGAATCCCATCAACCAAGTAAGATTAACTCACAGGAGTGGAGACACCATACCGAGACAGACTTTGTCAGAGAATACCACCTGTTCTCCACATGGGCTCCTCTGAGACAAACTGTATTTCCTGAACATTCTATCTGCACGTGAGAAAATGGCTGTGCACCGTGGAGTTCCCCCACCATCTTCCTGGGACTTGTCAGCCGCCACCTTCTCTCAGATGCCTCAAGCGCCTATTCTTTTCTATGGCTCAGGATGCTGTGAAAACTAGCATTCCAATTCCTTTTCAAGTTATATTTTGGGGAACATCTGTGTAAATTGATGTAATTAATTTTTTTCTTTTATTAAACTATTAATCTGTCTATTGTCAGTTTATTTCATAGATTCAATTATTAAAACTTCAGAAAGTAGAAAACATTTTCCTCCATATGCTCAGACTGGTGCCTGGCATCTGACAGACACCCAACAGTTATTAATTCAAAGATAGCATTACATTCAACTAAGATATATGCAAAAGGATTGTAAATTGCTGTGCAAATGTATTTTTATTCTGGTCAAAAAGTAAAATTTCAATAAATTGACTATAAATAAATAATTGGTTTATAGGTTTATAAGGATCCCACTGAGTGATTCATGAACCAGAAAGCATCCAGTGTGGGCCTCAGGAGGAACTCCCCTGGGTATGGCAGACATTGGGTTTTTGTAGGGAAGATTAGGCAGTGGTTGTCATCAGGCTGATTTTCTTGTATGGGTTAAAGTAGAGAAACCCTTATTGAACAAGTTCACATTTGCTGAGCCCCTTTGAATCAGTTGCTGTGAATTTAACTTTTTTCTTACTTTCCTATGAAGGAAGAGTTTCTCCTGATTTCTCAGGTTAGATCTTACAAGTAAGCAACACAAATCTTGGTTTGGTGGTGTGGAGCTTTAGCATGACTAACTCCATTGGGGAGTGATTATCTTAGCTTTCTCATTTTTTTTTTTTTTGGTGGTACTGGGGATTGAACCCACAGCCTTTGCACTTAGCTACATCCCCAATTTTTTAAAAAAATATATTTTGAGATCGAATTTCTCTGAGTCACTAAGTTGCTGAAGCTGGGCTTGAATTTGCCATCCTGCTACCTCAGCCTCCAAAGTGTGCTGCAATTATAATCATGAGCCACTGTGTCCAGGTGTAATTTTAGCTTTCTTCAAGAACTGCACCATGGAGGAGTTTTGATGTACTGTTACTTTTTTATTGGAAACAAATTTTTTTTATTTTAAAGAGAAAAAACAATATGATACAAAATTTCAAAACAAGATAGTAGGAGAGTAACAATGGTTAGTGCATTGCTTACTGTTATCTTCAAAGTAATTGCTCAGATGACAAGATGTAGGCATGAAAAATTGGTCAAACGATATCAGCACAAACCTTTCTTTCAATGAACTAATAGAAATTAGTAGTATAGCTATCTCAATATATATAGATATATATAATATATATATAATTTCTTTTTCTCTTTCTCCTTTTCTACTTTCCTCTATCCTAGTTTCTCTTTCTTTTTAAAAAGTTTCTTCCATTTCCCAGTATCTGTTGTACATTTGGATCTTAATTACTCTTTCAGCTTCTTACACTAGGGACACAATGTGAACTTTACACATATGAGACTGATTTATTTCACTATGAATATGGTTTCAAGTTGCATCCATTTACCTATAAAAGTCTCAGGTTTACCCTTCTTTATAGTTGAGTAGAACTCCACTGTACAGAAATACCCCATCTTTTTATCCATTCCTTGGTTGATGGGCATTTGGACTATTTCCAAGATTTAACTATTACAAATTGTTCTGCTATATACATGAATACACATATATTGCTGTGGTATGATGGTTTTAATTCTTCTGGGAAAATGCCCAGAAGGGGATAGCTGGGCTGAATGGGACCTCTAGCCCTAGCTTTTTGAGTAGTCTCCACACTGATTTCCATGGTGGTTACACCAGTCTACACTCCTACCAACAGCGGAGGAAGGTTCCCTTTTCCTTACAGCCACTTCTGCATTTGTTATTGGTTGGTTTCTTGATGACAGCCATTCTTTCTGGGGTGAGATGGGATCTCAGTGTTGTTTTAATTTGTGTCTCTTGAATGACCAATGATGTTGAACATTTTTTCATATATTTATTTAACATTTGTACTTCTTCCTCTGAAAAGTGTGTATTCATCTCAGCTACCCATCTTTGGATTGGGTCTTTGAATTTGGGGGGTCTGAATTTTTTCAGTTCTTTCTGTGTTCTACAAATAAGTCCTTTGTCTGAGGGACTGTTGGCTAAAATATTTTCCCACTCTGTGAGTTGTCTTTTTCACTCTGTTGGTAATTTCCTTTGATATGCAAAAGCTTTTTAATCAGATGAGATCCCAGTTGTTGACTGGAGTTTGTTGACTTCCTTGCAGTTTGGGTTTTGCTCATGTGCTCTCTGCCTACCCCAATGTCTTCAAGATTTCTTCCTACTTTCTCTTCCAGTAGATTTAGTGTTTCTGTTTTAATATTTAGACCTTTGATCCATTTTGACTTTAGTTTAGTGCATGGTGATAGACATGGGTCTAGTTTTAGTCTTTGGCATGTGCAGAGCCAGTTTTCCCAGAACCATTTATTAAAGAGGCTATCTTTCTTCCAGTGAACATGTTTCGCCCCTTTGTCAAAGATAAGGTGATTGAGTGTATTTGTAGCTGTGTAGGCATCTTCTAATCTGTTCCACTGATCCTCAGGTCTGTTTCTGTGCCAGTACCATGCTGATTTTATCACAGTGGCTTTGTAGTAAAATTTCAAGTCAGGGATTTTGATGCCTCCTGCCTTGCCTTTGTTGCCCAGGATTGCCCTTGCTATTCTGGGTCTCTTCTGGTTCCAGCTGAATTTTAGGAATGTTTTCTGTAGGTCTTTGAGACATGTTAATGGTATTTTGATTGGGGTTGCATTAAATCTGTACAACAATTTTTGGATTATGTCATTTTCACAATGTTGAATCTTCTGATCTGTGGGCAAGGGTTATGTTTCCATTTTATGATAGCCTCTTCAATCTCCTTTTTCAGAAAACTGTAATTTTCAATGTACAGATCTTTTACTTCCTTTGTTAGATTGATTTCTATGCATTTCATTTTTTTGATGCTATTGTGAAAGGTGATGTTTCCCTAATTTCTCTGTCAGTGAGTTTGTTGCTTGTGTACAGGAATGCTATTGATTTTTGAGTGTTGACTTTTTATACAGCTGTACTACTGAATTTGCTTCATAAATCTATAAGTCTTCTGGTGGACTTTTTTTATGTATCATGTCATCTGCAAATAATGATAATTTCACTTCTTTCTTTCCTATCCTTATTCCTTTTATTTCTTCTCTGGCTAATATTTCAAGAACTATATTGAATAGGAATGTTGACAGTGGACATCCTTGTCTTGTATCTGATTTTAGAGTGACAGCATTCAGATTTTGTTCATTTGATATGATGTTGGCTGTTGGTTTGTCATGGAGGGCTTCTGTCAGATTGATGTAAAGACCATTTATTCAAATTTTCTGTATTTTTTTTATCATGAATGAGTGCTGGACTTTATCAAACCTTTTTTGGCATCTGTTGAGGTGATCATGTAATTTTTGTCTTTGGCCCTATTGATATGCTGCATTACATTTATTGATTTGCATGTTGAACCAACCCTATAACCCTGGGGTGATTCCACTTGGTCATTGTGTATTATCTTCTTGATGATTTGATGCGTTCTGTTTGCTAGTATTTTATTGAGGATTTTTGCATCTATATGTTTATTAGGGAGATTGGCCTGTAGTCTTCTAATTTGATGAGATCTTTGTCTGGTTTTGGTATCAGAGTAATGCTTGCTTCCAGCAAAGAGATAGGGAGTATTTCATCCTTTTCAATTTCCATAAAGAGTTTGAGAAGAATTGGCATTACATCTCTAAATTTCTTGTAGAATTCAGCTGTGAATCTATCAGGACCTGGGTTTTCTTTGTTGGTAAGTTTTTTTATTACATTTTCAATTTCATTGACTGATATTGAGTTATTCAGGATTTTGGTATCTTCTTTTTTCAGCTTTGATAATTCATATGTATCTAGGAATCTGACCATTTCCTCTGTGTTTTCCATCCTATGAGAGTGAAGATTTTCCAAGTAGGTACTGATGATCTGAATTTCTACAGGATCTGTGGTGATTTCATTCTTTTCATTCCTTATTGAATGAATTTGAGTTTTTTCTTTCCTTTTAGATAAGATTGCCTAGGGGTTTTTCAATTTTATTTATTCTTTCAAAGAACCAACTCTCTGATTCATTAATTCTCTATATTGCTTTCTTAGTCTCTCTTGCATTAATTTCTACTCTTATCTTTATAACTGCCTCCCTTGTATGGGTTTTGGGCTTGAATTGCTCTTTTTCCTAGAAGCTCGAGGTGCAACATTAAGTTGTTTAATTGTGCTCATTCTCTTTTCCTGATTTGAGAATTCACTGCTGTAAATTTCCCTCTTAGGACTACTTTCATTGCATCCCATTGGTTGCAATATCTTGTATTTGCATTTTTGTTTGATTGTAGATATTGGTTAGTTTCTTCTTTAATTTCATCTGTGACCCACTGTTTGTTTTGGAGGTTGTTATTTAATTTGCATATGTCTATGGAGTTTTTTGGTTTCTTTTATCATTAATTTCCAATTTCATTGCACTATGGTCAGAAAATATGTATGAGATAATTTCATTTCCTTTGCAGTTACTTAAGCATGTTCTGTGGGCTAGTATATGGTGTATTTTAGAGAATGTCACAAGTGTAGCTGAGAAAAATATATATCCTGCTGTCATTGAGTGAAACACTCTGTAAAGGCCTACTAAGTCCATTTGTTCACAAACTTGGTTTAGTTCTGTTATTTCTTTGCTGATTTTTTTTATCTAGTTGATCTATCTTTTTGTGTCAGTGAGGTATTGAGGTCCCTGTTACAACTATATTATTGTTTATTTGATTTTCCATGTTTATTAATATTTTTCTTATATAATTGAGTGCTCCCATATCTGGTACATGTATATTTATGAATGTTATCTATTACTCTTGCAGTTTTTCCCTAACAAGAAATATTGACCTTCTTTTTCTCTTTTGATCATTCTTGGTTTGAAATTCACATTGTCTACAAACAGAATAGCTTCCCAATATTTTTTGAGTTCCTTTTGCATGGAGTATTGTT